GGACTTAAGCATTTTGATGAGAATAACTGTATATTGTGAATATAGGCTACAGAGTATACTGTATACATTATAAGATAAGATATACTTTATATATCACACAGAGTATGTACAGTATATATTTTTTTACATTAGTACTGTATACATTTTTACATTTTCTCCTGGAGGTGTGCCGCAAGATTTTTTCAGTGAAAAAAGTGTGCCTTGGCTCAAAAAAGGTTGAAAAACACTGCCATAAGTCGATGGAGCGAAACCATCCTCTGCAGTAAGGAAGTTGGCTCTTTTCATCCAAAACCTAACCTTGCCTGCAAGCTGAATTCTCGCGGTATTTGTGAGTTCACAAACACTCGAGAATACATCTTGTACCGCTCCCGCTTACACTTTTCGAGTCGAACCACTGGGTGTGCGAGCCAATCACGCGCCAGTCTGGGGGTTTAGGGCGGGATATCCGGGTTTGACGAAAACAAGAAGTGCCGGGCCGAAGCAAAACAAACATGGCTACGCAGGAGGACGGACGCGTAGCTGAGTCTATCAAGTCAGTTTTAGCAGAATCTCCAATTTCTTTTTTGAAAGATGAACAGCGAGAGGCGCTTTGTGCATTTCTGGACGGCAAAGATGTTTGTGCATTTTTACCTACGGGTTTTGGCAAGAGTGTAGGCGGGCACACAGCGTCACTTCGCCCAATCAGCTTGAAGTATTCTGCTGCTTATCCCTCCTTTCCCCGAAAGGATTCTCCGGGAGAAATCCCAGATTGATATCGCGGAGAACGCGTTAGAGTTCTACACAATCATCAATCTGGCTCTTGCCAGGTTATCCAAAACCAACCTTGTCCCAAAGTTTGGATATCTACTCTTCCCTAGTTTAAAAAGGAAAAAGACTGCTTTTACAAAGACATGGTCCCTATATACTTTACTAAGAGTTATAAGAGTTACTTTAAAAAAAGGTTAGAGTTCCATCTGGGGTGACATGAAATTGGCAATAGCTGATATGGTTTGTGTTTAAAGAGACTAAGAATTCAGGACTGGATGCTTCCTTCAACTGTGGACCAGTAGAGCGGCGCAGCAGGAGCGTGCTGGGCCCATAACCCAGAGGTCGATGGATCGAATTCATCCTCTGCTCTAAGGAAGTTGGCTCATTTCATCAAACACCAGCCTTGTCCAGAAGTTTGGATATCTAAACCTCCATAGTTTAAAAAGGAAAAATACTGCTTTTACAAAGACATGGTCCCTATAGAGTCACTTTTTAAAAAGGTCAGAATTCCATCTGGGGTGACATGAAATTGGCAATAGCTAAGAATCCTTTTTGTGTTTACAGGGACTAAGAATTCAGGACTGGATCCAACCTACATCTGTCTAACAGCTGAGTGGGGCAGCGGAAGCGTGCTTGGCCCATAACCCAGAGGTTGTATTACTGACCTAATGGGACAAAACATCTTATAAGTTTGTGTAAGCCCTCAGTCGTGCAGGGATTAGTCAAAGCAAAGGAAGGTTTCTCACCCATCATCTGTACTTCTTAGCAAGTTTTTCCGACGTTTCGTCCTCAAACCAGCGGACTTCTTCAGGGAATGAATTCTCAGACCGCGCGTTGGAGATTTATAACCTATGGATGTGGTTAGCCACACCCTAATCCTGATACTAACTCATAAACAATCTAAGGTCTGTTTGATGTAGAAGGGGGCAGGTCTAACGACCCTGCTGAGGCTAACGACCCTAACTCATTAGCATGTAACAGACCTATTGTCTGCTGGGATGCTCAAGTGGAGTGCAGGTCTCACCCCTCCTAACTCATTAGCATGTCACTGACCTTGTCCCAAGTTAGGGTGTTGTTTTTAGGATGTCGTCATAGATGCGAGGCAAAACAAATCTTAACCCTCCTCCTCTGTTAAGAGAAGGTTTTTGTTTCCTCACAAAAATGGCTTCTTATACATCTTATACCCTCTCCTGCAGAATTTTTTTGGAACACATTTGATGAAGCACTGAATACAGTTCTGATGAAAATAACATTTTTATTGTTGGACTTAGCAGCAGGTAAACCACATCTGTTGTAGGCGGGTCATTTTACCCGTTTATATAATGCCTAAAGTTGAATCTTAAATAGTTGACCTATCAGTAGCAATCACAATTTAGTTGTTTTGCATAGAAAAACAGTAAATCGTTAAGTGTTTGAGGACTGCATGCCGGCGTAAACTTTAAAGTGCTGTAACAGACAGAGTGTAAGGCAAAGGCCACTGAATAAACTTGATGCAAGACCAGACACAAAAGTAAAATTTGGCATCTTGGATTCAGGCAAAAATAGATGCACGCATGAATCACGCTAATAGCAACTATGAGAGTGCAAATGAGGGAAGACAACTGAAACATGGTAAAAATAAAGCCAACTTTGCAAGTTATGTCTTCTTTATAAGTACAATACTAAAAGTAATTGAGAAGAAATGTCTAAACTGTGTGGTGGTTGTCGGCCTCTCTCTATATTACTCACAGCTGAGTTTCTAACATGTATGAAAAGTTGTAAATAAGTTCATATAAGTTAGACAGTTGATAATAAATCAAATATATTTCCTTTAAAACAGAACAAATAACCCTATGTACAATGTGGGAGACATACACCAGAGACCTTTAATATATAATAGATATTCATCAGAATCATATCGAAAACATGAAATTCAGATTCAAGTTGTCAAATTAGTTCCTGAAATAAACTTAAAGTGAATGGAAGCATAGTTTAGTTGCTACATGTGAACTCGACCCAATAAGTATGTGTCATTAACAACATCCTCATCCCCCCACCCCCCCGTTCTATCTGTATTAAGCCGTGTTTTGGGCTGATCTACTCTACTCTACTTTACTCTACCCCAATTGGGAACAATTTTATATTTTTTATTTTTTTCAACCGGTACCAGGTACTTTTTTAAACACCTGCTTGGTCCTGGTTCTATCCAGATCGAGCTGATACTAATATGTTCTAACTTACAGTGATTGGCCAGAGTACTGTTTCGAAGCCATGGTTACCAAGGAGTTTCTCCTAGTTACTGGTTTGTTGTGGGTAGGTTGGAATGAGACATTACCAGATACTAAAGTGTAATGAAAACATAACCGAGTAGAATAGCGTAGCCTAGAGTAGAGTACAGTAGAGTAGTTTAGCGTAGCATAGCATAGAGTAGAGTAGCGTTGTGTAACGTAGAGTAGAGTAGGGTAGCATGGAGTAGCGTAGAGAAGAGAAGAGTAGCATAGCATAGAGCAGAGTAGAGTAGTGTAGAGTAGAACTGATGGAAACTGGATTTTAGATCAACTGTTTCACCACCAATGGGCTACGTTCATGTTGTAAAATTCTATGTCAATATTTTAAAGAAATGTTGAAAAATAAAATGTCAAAACGTTTCTCCAGATAATTATTTGATTGTGATTAGATTCACAAACTCGCCATTTTATTCTTATGTCTGACAGTCTGCTCTACGGGCAAACATCTGGCATATGTCTTTTGAATATTGTTACCACCTTTATGAGAAAAAAAATAGACTGTAGTTGATATAGAGACTAGAGAGAGACCAGAGACCCAAGGAGTGTGACAATATATCGATATAACTATATATCGTGATACTTTCTCCCGCAATCGATATGCATTTGCCAAGTATCGATTTTGAAAAAAATAAAATAAAATTCTATATAATTTTTTTTTAACATTAGCATCAATACTTAATATATGATTACATTACGCATCTCCATTCCATTTATCATGAAATAAAGTGTATTTTTTCACTCAACATTTTTCTTTCATTTATGCCATAAATTGGCCTATGGTATATTTCTGACCAATGTATTGATAATCGTCAAATTGTGATATAATCGTTATCGTGAGCTTTGTATCGCGTATCGTGAGGTATCCTGAGGTTCCAACCTCTAAGAGTAGAGAAACTAGAGAGAGATAGAGAAAGACTAGCCTGGCCTTAGCCATCCGTACACTCAATAATCATTTCACTGCATGTAACGTCTGGGTCTAGTCCCCATGTTAGCGATTACAATCAGTTGAATTTCGACCAACCATTCAGAGAGCGCAGAAGGCAGGTGTTGTAGTTTGGTAATGGTGAAAAATGCGATAGTAAAGTAATCCGGTCTGGTTCTATCAAGAAATTGAAGCCGGAGCAAAGGTAATGTTTAGCAAATGTAATCGCTGGAAAAAATTGTGGCGCTGCTCCCCACGGGCTCCGTTAGCGGCAAAGGAGATGGCTAGGCTAAATGCTAAATGCTAACAACATACTTGGGCGCACTACATACGTCACGGTAAACTCAGATCCAATCGTTTCAATCTGCAAAAGAGTGAGTTAACCCCTCCCACCTGTAAACGGAGCTCAATGGAGCACCTCCATCCCTTAGTACGAAATGTCATTTGTACTATGGTGTGGTACGACCAGGCTAGAGAAAGACTAGAGAGAGACTACAGAGAGGCTACAGAGAGACCAGAGAGGCTAGTGAGAGACCAGAGAGGCTAGAGAGAGACCAGAGAGGCTAGTGAGAGACCAGAGACCCAAGAGTAGAGAGACCAGAGAGAGAGCAATTTTTGTTTAATGTGGATTTACACAGGGATTACAGAGAATCCAGCTCAAAACTAAGATTAAAAGTGTTACCGTTATGACAAGGAAATAAATCTAATAAGTGATGTATCGATCTGTCAGACTGGCCACATCTGGTATGAACACGTCACACCAGCCAGTAATAGGTTCTTCACAATCAAAGAACCCTAACCCTCATGAGCCATATAGTTACCATGCGGGAATTATGTTTTTCAGCTGCCCTCCACCACAGTGATAAACTATAGGCTCTTTGGAATGATGGGAAATCACATGAACGCAACCAAGAGAATGGAATGGAATGCACACAAAGGAATTGGCAGAACAAAAAAGGGAAAGAATCATTTTTCTGAAGGTACTCATACAACCCTAGTCCAAGCAAAACACTGGGGAAAGGTGAACCTTTAATTCAGCTTGGGGTGTTTCAGAACATGCTTCATTACATTATGGTCGTCTCCATGTTGTCCTCTGGCTCTTCGCCTCTGCTGTAGTCCACATGCTCTTCCCTCTCCGTCATAAGTTCATTCGTATCTTCCTTGTGTCTGTGCTCCAGTAGAGGCCTGATCACGCTGATGTCACCCGAAAACTTTGAGATAGCCTCGTCTCCGTCCGACTCTCCGTCCGCCACGCACAAAGAGTACATACTCCTGGGAGTCTCTGCTCCTGAACTCGAAGTGTCTTTGCCGCCGCCGCTGCTGCCGTGATGCTTTTGAAACAGGTTCGAGTCACTTTTCCCCACGTCTTCTGCAGAACCGAGAGGCAGCAGTCCGTTGGGGAGGCCGTTGAAGGCTTCCGGAGGTCTGGGCGAGGCGGAGCAACACTGCTTGAGGATGGAGGCGGCCATTTTGAAGCGGTTGACCTTGGGTTTGGGTTGGGAGGTGGGGCACTTGGAGACCTTGAGGGACGAGTTGGGATAAGCCAGACTGGAGTCCATGGAGCTGCAGCTGGGTTTGGCCACAGGCAGAGCAGGTTTACTGGTTTTCATCATCCCCATCACTTCATATCGGAAACTGGAGATGTCCTGCTTCAGCTCCTGCGGGAAACAAAAGCAGCAACAACACGTAGCATGATTTAAAAAATTACCGGAAAAGAAGACCTAGATATTCAAGAGTTCAAATGAATAACATTGATTTCTCTTTCCCTGACTTTCCCTGCATGGTCTATTAAGGTCAATACAATTACAATCCAACTTTTGTTCCCAGAATCTTCCTGTGACAACAAAGCAATGATTACAGTTGCAATCCATCTGCTGGGGTTTAGCTCTAACCCTATTACATTTTCTCCTTGAAGAAAGCAATGCAAATGTTTTATGTTTTCTATGACACTAATAAAACAAATAATTAGTTTTTAAAACCATTAAAGGGCTAAGGTACAAACTTGTATGTCATACATTACAATGACGTACTGTATGAGCACATATTTTTTGTACCTGGTTTCATTTGAATATTTATACGTATTTATACATGTAGCAACCAGGCAAAGGAAGACGTCTACATGGAATTTTGAAATAAAGGTCAGGTTGTGTGCATTGTACAGCGCATGTCCATGTTGCTGACAAGGTAAGTTGGTTGTAAATCTTGGTCTCGCTATTGTTGTTTTTTTTTTTTTAAATCACACATAATATGTAGATGCAAGAGATTTAAAAAGATGTAATGATTGTGTATGATGATGCTAACCTGTGCTTTTGATTTCATCGGCTGATTTGGACAACAATATATTCCAATAGATCAGGGATGTCAAACTTAAATACATCAGAGGATTTGATAAAACTCCATGTTTATTAAATCATATTAAAATGATTGCATACAGTATATCCTATTTAATGATTAAATTAATATCCATCCATCCATCCATCCATTTTCTACCCTTTAATCCATTTCTGGGTCAGGGGGGTGGCAGTCAGAGATGCCACCCAAGTCTCATAGCACCAGCCCCTCACTGACCCTCTGCAGGTGGTGAGTCCACAGGAGGACAGCTGCTCTCTGAGTGTGAGCATAGCCTTGATCTTTCAGTGGGGGCTTTGGGCAAAGTGGGGTTAAGTGTCTTGCCCAAGGACACAACGACAGCAGTCATCAGTGGGAGTCGGTTAAATTAATAATCCAATATTTTTGTATGGCTCTGTCGGTAATTTCAAGTGAAAACATGTTCAACACAGCTCAGTCAAATACAGACTTCCTTCAAAGAGAAAACACACGCCTCAAACATAAAATTAATAATCCAATATTGTCTTATGGCTCTGTGTGGCCGGTTCTAATAAGTAATAAAATATGATCCGGGTGGGGGGATATAATTCATTTGTGGGCCGGATCAAGCCCCCGGGCCTTGATTTTGACACCCATGCAATAGACCAAAACAAATCAGTGATATTTTGTCTCACAATACTTCATAAATCGGGCTCTAACAGTATAAAGTTATGGCGGCATTCCTTCTTCACTCTTCTACCAGTTTATTCCAGAACATTAGAGACAGAAACCCAGGCGCTTGGCTTGTGTATATTTGCAGCTTTAGCTCGATGCCAGCTTACATAACCGTACCTTGAAGTTCTCCTCCGTCAGGCCTTCTTCTGTCTTGGCGTCTCTGATCATCGCAGCCACGTATCGCTTCACCAGATTCCTCAGAATTTCCTACATCAAGAACAGAAGAAAATAAAAAAACAGTCCAAATGTCCCTTAATACTGTCACGTCGCCCGAGTCAATGAGTCAAAACAGAAACCCACTTACTAGTCCAAATCATTTCAAGCCTGGAGTTTTTCTGAAGCCACTCTGACAGGCCCCCCACTGCTTAGGACAAATAGATTTCTTTGCAGAGAGAACATGCAGAAATATCCCACTGAGAGTAATTTTAGTTTTTTATTGTGTGTTACAGCAGCGCCAATGCCTCATCGACCGTCAGGGAATTCAAATACAGACTGACAACCAAAAGACGGAAGCGTTCGGATTGGATTCTATCTCGATTTTTAGCTCAGACAAGAAAGATGGGTCAATGTAGAGGCTTACCTGGTATTGGTTGTTTAAGCGCACGTTCTCTGCAGCTCGTCTCTGCAAAAACACAAGATACATAGATAGTATCACTCTATGCTTTTCCACTGCCTTCTACAGTTTTTCTCTCTAGTTTTGTTGAGCACTTTGAGTTGCCTTGTGTATGCGTGGGTGGGTGCAAAAGGGGTTTGGTGGGTTTTACTGTAAATCACGTTTTATGCATGTTGTATGTTTTTAATATCTTTTAATGACTTGGATCACCCAAAGTATCCCGGCTCCCAGATTCATGTGGGGACATGACTGGACAATTATAACACGTGTGCCTTGAGATATGGGGAAAGGGGGAAGGAGAAGGAAGGGGGGAGCGGGACACAGGGAGGCAAAAACCCTGTGTTCTGGCGGTCCAGGCTGTGGATACGAGGCTAGAAGAGCGGAACAAGAGATGAAGCCGAGGAGCGGAATCAAGAGCAAAGATGAGGACGGAGCGGTTTTTTAGCCTATTTTTATCTGTGATTTTATCCCCTGAATTTAGCCCTGTTTTAAACCTGTATCTTTGACTTTGACGTTTTTACAGAATTTTTTTTTTTCTATTGATTTTTTTGTAAACCATTTCTACTACTGCTTTTAATTCAGTGGTCTTTTTACACCAGGTCCAAAGAACCTTTTTCCCACCTTTGACACATGAACTGTGCCCTAAGAAAAAACTTGCCTTGCCTCGTAACCATGTTTAGCGTCATTAAATATCCTCCCTCATATCTCCCTTCCAACACACAGGGCCCTGGAGAACTGAAAAGACAGATTGCCATGGTCTAAGTATTCAGCCGACCATAAGCTCCGAGGCTTAGGCCAATATGACACAACTTCACAGTTCGCAGCCAAACGAACAGGACAATCACAGCGGATCCCACTGAACCAGACGCCTGGGTCTCTCCCATCGGCCACGATACAGAAGCCAGAAAAACATCCAAAAACGAACCGTTTACTGAAGCACTTTTGTATGAGGATCAGTAAGAAATTATTTATTAACTTGAGCGTACTGGATGAACATACAGTAAAAAAAAAATCAACTTGAATCTGTGACTAAAAGCCGAAAAACATAATACATCTATAGGTTTGATTTTTAACATAATTTCTTTCTTAGAATTCTTACAAGTAAAATAACTTAAAACAGGAGTTGTATTGATCTACAAGAGCCTGTTTCTGTCTTCCTGTACCACAGACACAACAGCCTAGCACTGCAAACCATAATCAGTCATCATTCAGCTATCTCCTGTCAATCAGTAATTGTACTTCTGTATACTACAATATACGAGAAATCTTTTTACATGTGTCATACACAATGAAGATTTTATTTACTTTCCCTTTGGTTGTGTTTTACTTCCTGTCCTGTTCCACTATGATTGTCTGCCCCACCCTCATGTCTTTCACCTGTGTCTCTCTGAGTCTACAGTATATGTACAGGACCTGTGCTCCTCTCCGCTTGTAGTTGGTCCATTGTCAATGTCTTTGTTTGTCTCTGTCCTTGGTCCTGGTTTCTCCACATGACAGGAGATAGATATTTGGCATGAATTGAGTTAGAAGCAGGAGGTGCTTAAAACCCTCTGCAGTATGAGTAAGTTGAATTGGTCGAATGGATTCCAACGTCTTGTGCGAGCTCCAGGAAGGCTACATTCGGCTCTGAACATTAGTTGAAGTGATGACGAGCACATACCCCCAGGGAGCCCAGGGTCTCGGGCCGCCGGGACCTGGCCCTCTTGCAGATCTGCCTCTTGGTCCAGCACAGCAGGTACCAGAAGGACTTGGGGCTCGGGACAATGTTGAACGGAGGGGGAAGAGTGGCTCCTTCCTCAAAGTAACTCATCCATAACTTTGTCCGGGCAAACTTCCACTCGATGTCAGCGTGATCCTGCAATGAAAGACAAGATTCAGACCTTTCTAGAAAATTATGGTTGTTCCAGAGACTGTTTAGGTCACAATATGATCATGAGAACAATGAGTTGAAGACAATGAAGCCATTTCCATTGACTTCATTGCCTCTGTCTGGTCATTTTGAATTACTATAGTTTGTTTTTACTTTTGTAATTTCATGTTTTAGAATGTAAAATAATATCTCCAGTAGAAAATATATAGTAAAACAGATTTGAAGGGTTAACAACGCCATCGACCAGCACTGTCCCTATGCTACCACCAGAGGGAGGAGTCAAATTTGTTTAGATTTTTTCCAATTTTGAAGCTGGAACTCACATTAACTCATCCCAAGTTTCAGCCAAAGTTTACAAATCAAATTTTCCAGAGTTGGAAATGGGAACTTCCAAATTTCTACGATCGCAGGAGCTTTTAGACAGATACATGTTTGTGCTAGAAGTTCTTGATATTAGCGTGGATGGATCAACAATATGTTTTTGAAGAGGGAACAGTACTGGCACTGGTTAAAAGATAAATACAGTGGATTTTCACATAATGTCTACTTTAAATTGACAATAGACTTCCACAGATTCAGAAAGAAAATTGTTGAAAAGGGTAAGTAGGAGGAGATATGGCAACTGGTTATGTATATTAGTCAAATACATGAATAGACAGAGATATTAAACCGGTCCTCAAAGGGCAGATTTTCATTCCAACCAGGCAGGAACACACCACACTCCATCCGTTTCCGAAAACAATATATCTGTGCTATCTTTTAAAATTGCATTCAACGATGAAATTTGCCAAAGGTATCATACATTAGTTAATGAACAAAAAGTCATACTTCTTTTGCCATAATAATAATTATGCATTGGTTTTATATAACGCTTTTTTGGACACTCAAAGACACTTCACATGTCATTATTCATTCACAATGGTGATAAACTACCACTGTAGCCACAACTGCCCTGGGGCACACTGACACAAGCAAGGCAACCAGTCTGTGCCATTAGCCCCTCCGACCACCATGAGGGTGAAGAGTCTTGCCTAAGGACACAACGGCAGCAGACATCAGTGGGATACAGTGGAGAAAGTCTAATGGTGGGCTCGAACCCAAAACCTTCAGGCTCAAAGGCCAATGCTCTACAACTGAGCCACAATCTTTGAACTTCTAATGTTTTAACAGGGTTAACCTGAAGACTTAGGAAATGGGTGGAGTCTGTTGTGCTCCTGCTTGGTTGGAATAACAACCCACAACCAAAATGGCACTTTCTGGAACCCCTGCTCTAAAAACAATCCAATCCATTGGATTATTTACTGTATATACCACATTTTATACAAGAGGTTTCCAAAGTGCTGCACAGAGATGCAATTAACACATTTAAATATACAGGTTTGCAGCTTTACTTGTTTAAAAAAGAGATGGTAAAGGATTATGTACGAAGTAAAAACAGTACAAACGTAATAAAAACAAAATACCCATCCATCCATCCATTATAACAACATTGAGTTGATCTATATAACAAGGAAAAACAACTTTGTCAAACGCTGTGTGAAGTAGGTTTTTGTGTTTAAACCCGTCTTCGGTGTGAACTTACGGCGATGTGCTGGTAGGAGTTGTTCATCATTGCAATCAGCATGTTCAGAAGCACCACCAGCGAGATCACGTTGTACGTCCCAAACATCGTGGCCCCGACAAACTCTGTGAACTGGTGATCTGGCTTCACATTCGTCACGTACAGGTTTATGAGCCCGAAAATCGACCAGAAGAGGGACTGAAGGGTCTCAAACAATCTGTAAAACCACAAAGAAACTCATTTGTGTGAGTTGTTAGCGCCTGGCTGCCCATAAAAGTCCCATAAAAGATTCCCTCGTAAAGATTGATTGGGAGATGGGCACTCAATGGTTACGGTGATAAACATTAGTCAAAAGACCCCACTCCCATGTCTGTGTGGAGTGAGAGGACACATGCCCAGAAATAACAATTGTAAACCACTTTGTAACTCTGGTCTGTGATAGGAGGTATATAAATAAAGATTACTTACTTACTTACTTATAAAACAGTAACACATTTTTATAATGTGCTTATAATGAAACAAGCAGGTTTAGTGCTAGTTCAAGCACAAAGCCAAATGTATTCTTATTCCATGTGAGAGATTTCTTTACAAAAGAACCGCCCTCTCCACTTTTTGAACCAAACTCTCTGGTCTTATTTGACGAGCACGTATCACCAAAATGATAACATGACAAATAAGAGGACAAAATAGTCTTGATGATCCATGCGGAAGAAAAAAATCCTCCTATATACCTTTAAATTAGGCAAATTACATCTTAAGTACGTTTGGACAGATTTGCCAATCAAACAAGCAGGTTTAGTCTTAGTTCAAGCAAAAAAGTCATGTATTCTTATTCTATCTGAGAGATTTCTTGCGTAGGTCTTAATTCAACTAAAACAAGACAATAGGTTGCATTTGTATTTATGTCTAATGCATGGTTTTAATGAAATGCTTGTTATTCATTGGGTTTAATGAGTGAGAATAAAAAGAATGAGGTGGTTGTTGAGGTGGAAAATTAGCCACAAATTGATGTAGTATGAATTTTTAAAAAGAAATGAAATAGTCGATGCATTGATGCATATCCTGGTGCTTTACTTCAGACACAGAGATGAAAGTTGTACATTGCTCACACCGTATTGTAGTGGTCTCTCTCTGGTCTCTCTGTGTCCTTGTGTCTCTCTCTCTCTCTCTGGTCTCTCTCTGGTCTCTCTGTGTCCTTGTGTCTCTCTCTCTCTCTCTGGTCTCTTTCTGTTCTTTCTCTGTGTCCTTGTGTCTCTGTATGGTCTTTTTCTGGTCTGTCTTTCACTATGGTCTCTTTCTGGTTTGTCTCGCTCTATGATCTCCTTCTGATCTGTCTCTCTCTCTGGACTCTTTCTAGTCTGTCTCTCTCTATGGTCTCTTTCTGGTCCGTCTCTCTCTATGGTCTTTTTCTGGTCTCTCTCTCTCTATGGTCTCTTTCTTGTCCGTCTCTCTCTATGGTCTTTTTCTGGTCTGTTTCTCTTCTTTCTTTGGTCTCTCTCTGGTCTCCCTCTGGACTCTCTCGGGTCTCTCACTGGTCTCTCTCTGGTCTTTCTAGTCTCTCTGTTCTGTCTCTCTCTGGTCTTTCTCATCTCTCTCTGTTCTCTCTCCTGTCCTCTCTCCTGCCTCTCTCTGTTCTCTCTCCTGTCTCTCTCTGTTCTCTCTCCTGTCTCTCTCCTGTCCTCTCTCCTGTCTCTCTCTGGTCTTTCTTGTCTCGTACATTTCAGATTCAGATTCAGATTCATTTATTTGCCATTTGCAGTAAAACCACATTGGAAAAACTGTGCAAGACTACCCCGGTGTGCACCAGACAGAGGAGAACATTGCTCGCTCACGCACGCACGCATGCACGCACACACACACACACACACACACACACACACACACACATACACTACAGCCGTGACTCACGTGGAGAAGGCGTTGTTCTGTTGCACACAGCGGATTCCTTTGCATTTCCCCTTTTCATCCTCAGCCTTCGTCTCGTAGTAGAAGTAGAGCTGGTTCAGGCCGTTGGCAAAGGCCAGTAAGACCTGCCGAGATAAACAAATACTTACTCATTTACATCATTATACACTACCAAGATTCTTTCATCCAAAACAGACCGAAGAGTTAAAGTTGTCTTGAAAAGTGCATTCTTTAAAAGGCTTCAATAACACAGCCATTTTAGATTTAGATCAAACTCTTGCCGAATGTAATTTCCGTTTTCTAGCACTAGATGGCAAGGTTATTATTTTTTCAATATGTTCATACTTAAAATTCGCTAAAAAAAAATTCCCTAAAGATTTTCTTAGGGCCAAAATTCCACAGATAATGCCAAAAATAAATGTCACAGTATAGGAATAGGAATCCCGGCATACGGAGTTCGACAAGAGATTAATACAGAGGAGGTGGGGGGACCAGCAAATCCATATATTTTTGTGGAACAACTTCAGGTCTGTTATTGGAGATGGATATTTTTTTTTTACATTCAGCTTTAATACAGGTAATTTAAATACATATTACACATTCATTTTGGCCAGTCAAAATGATGGGTGTCATTAAATGTTTTAGAATGTGAAATAAGAATGTGAAACTCATGAAAAAAAAATATTTTGGGAAGGAAAGATATGGTAAAACAAGTATGAAGGGTGAAAAATACTCTGCCTGTAACTCCATCTGTCACCACCACAGCAACGAGTTGTTTTTAGTTCGTTTTTTTCCCATATTCAAAAATTACAAGATAAACAAGAATATTTTTTACCCTTTGCAGTAAGACCACATTGGAAAAACTGTGCAATACTCCCCAAGTGAGACTGAAAACACTGCCAAAATGGCTAATACATGTGTTTTTAAAGACAGAAAACTGCTCTGAGTGTGATGTCATAGTACTACAATGACATCATACCATTACAGGACTGAGACAGGAGCCAGAATATCATTACATTAGCATGGATGGATCTACAAACTACAGGTTTTAGATCCATCCAGCTCCAAAAAGACCAACATTTTGTGCATAATACAAAACCTTTAATTGTTAATTTATACACTGAGATAACAGGTAGGCATGAATATTTTAATATCTGTCCGTCACATTTGTTTCTCGCTGTATAATTAATGCATGTGTTTACAGCTCACCAGGCAGTAGATGAAGAGGAACTTGAGGATGTCCAGCAGCATCCGGCCCAGCGAGATCTGCAGAGGCCCCAGGTGGGAGTTGGCCGTGAAGAGCGAGATGAGGCGGAGCGAGCTGAAGATGTTAGCGATGGCGAACACGGCCTCCGCCACCAGCGTCGGGTGCCACATCTCCCACTGGTTTCGGGGTTTGCTGCCGCTGTACTGAAGGGGAAAGCGTGGGAAGTACTGTATCACGGAATTACGTACTTATTGGAGTACATGGAGGAAGGAGAGTGGTGCTGATCCGGACATTTGAGGACATTTGGATGTTTTTGTTTTTCTCAAAATATCATCTTATTATTTATTGTCAGATTGTTACTTTAATGTTTTTATTCTGAAATACTATGCAAGCCACTGTGACAACGCAATTTCCCTTGTGGATCAATAAAGTCTGTCTCAGTCTAAGTCTAAGTTATCTATGGACTGTGGACATCTGTTCCTTATGGACCAATGGCTCTATGTGTTTGTTATTATTGCGATGCTGCAATGGTGTGAATTAATTTGAATCTAAAATCTTATCTTATTGGTATTTCATCCCACTTATGATTACAGTGCTATTTGGCCTCATACACATGCCCAGAGGAGTTTTTTTATTGATTCTGTCCATCTTTAGTTAGAGAGCAATCTTTGGCTGTGAAACACCAAAGATTGAAATGTGGCGAAATGTTGAAAAGTTCAAGGGGGCCGAATACTTTCCAAGGCACTGTATATATGTTTTTTTTTGAAAGACTGGTGTTGAAGCATTTACAGCTAGCTAAGAAACATAGCTTTGTGCATTTTCATTTCCATTCCATTTTGTGTGCTCCCTGTGTGCTCTGTCTGTGCGCTGCAACATTGAAATTTCCCCACTGTGGGAAGAATAAAGGAGCTGATCTTCTCTTATCTTAGATTAAAGTGAGTCCCAAGAATCAAGATGGATTCCCCAAAAAGCAACGGCCCAAACTTTTGATGGTATAGTTACACTGTCCTTATGCAGTAGCAGTGTTCCGTGTGTGACGTGTGTGTAGTTGTATGACCTTCTTCTTCAGACCCACAAACTGTTTCATGTCCAGTTCTTGGTGAGGATTCTTACTTTGGTGTAGGCAACAATCTTCAGAGAGATTGTGGCTAAATACAGAGAGTTCATGACGAAGTCCATGAGGTTCCACCAGTCGTGGATGTAGTCCTGGAACCCGCCATCCCACATCTGCTTGATCTCAGCCCAGATAAAACCTGAAATACAAGTGATTACTGAGTGAAGAAAGAATACTGCATCACACAATAGTCACATTGATAGTTAGCGAGTTAGAGTGACTGAGTTTTGAAGTCATTATCTCTGAGAACTCACTTCAGAATCTCAGCAGGAACACTGCTGGAAAAGTGGAGGATGTTCAGCCATTAGCTTCTCCAACTCATATTCATTATTTCACACAATAAAGATGACATACTGAACTGTTATATTGTATATTGTAACTGTTCTGCTAAATCTCATCAATAAAACTCATTATTGTCTCTTTTATTATAAGTGAAAAATGTATCTGCTGCTGGACATCTGCATTTCTCCTACAGGAATCAAGTATCTATCTGACAGCATTCATAATAAACTATTTTATAATTGACATCCGTTTGTTTGGTGCCAGGTTGTAACAGATGGGGGCTCATCCGGGATACACAACAAACACATGAATATACTTAAACAAATAAGCACAATCATTGTTCAAGTTGAGTTCATTGATAAAAACAGACAATGTTCAATTGGCCATGCTGTCAATCACATCCACAAACTAAAGCTATAATGTATATGCTGCAAGAGGACTGACCCAGGACCCAGGGCAGGATCATCCACTCCACGGTGGTAGGAGGCGGTCCCTGTCGGTCTTGCCGGTCCTGCTCCGTGGTGACGATGTGCTGCGAGGCCAACAGCAGCAGGAAGAGGAAGGTGAGGTAGGAGGAGGTGTGGCAGATGAACTTGATGAAGGGTTTGCGGATGAAGAGTCCGTAGCGGCTTTTGGGGGCGATGAGGTAACAGAGGGCGAAGAGCGGGAACAGCAGCCCGATAAACACACACGTGATGAACTTCCCAGCCCAGGGGCGCCGCCTCCAGCCCGGGAACTCATCGTACCAACGAGAGGCCAGGAGCTGCTGACAGTTAGGCTGAGCCACGAACTACAGAGGGAGAAGGAGAGACTGTTATGTTCAATATCCTGTACCGGGATGTGGATTCTACACCACAGCAGCACTTTACAGATGACAGATGGGGTAGTCTTGCACAGTTTTTCCAATGTGGTTTTACTGCAATTGGAAACTAAATTCGTGAAATCTGGAGATACAGCTGTTATTGCTGTCAATTATCCAACAGATCAGAGAAAAAGAACGGTTTGATTGTCAGAAAGGCTGTAGATCCAGGCCTCTCAGTGCTTAAAACTAATGCATGTTACTTTTTCTTATTCAAAACTTGTATTAACTTAACTATTCTGTCCTGAAGACTATTATAGTACCGTCGCAGAGTGGATAGTGCTTGTGCTTGTGCTTCAGAACAAGATGGTCCTGGGTTTTATTCAATCTCCAGGGAGGGCCTTCCTGTGTCCAGTTCAGCATCTATGTAGGTTTCCTCCAGGTGCTCCAGTTTCCCCACCACTTAAAACATGAAAAATAACTTCCTTCTCTCTGGGCCCTGGACTCAGGAAATTGTAGTGGGACTGTTTCGGCTAAATTCAATAAATTACTTTTGCCTCCTCTGCTTTTAACGGAACTACAGGGAGAGTATTTGAATTTATGAATGAGAGGTAAACATATCTTGTCATAATTGATTTTTTACATAACCACAACTCACTTGATGTTTACTACTAAATCAGCTCAATTCCCAAAGATGTCCAAAATGACATTCTGAAAAGCCTAAGGTAACATCACAAAGACATCGGAGATCCGGTAGTGTCAGAGCGATGTTATTCCTTCGCAACAGCTCGAAAGCTTTCCCCAAGAAACCTGTGAAATCCTCTGTTGATGCAGAGACCTCGTTAAAGTGGTGAACTGACCGGTGACAGTCGCCGCCAATTTAGCCGACTCCTGCAGCCCGTCACCATGGAAACCCGGGTCTTTGTCAGATTTGCATTTCTCAACCGTGCAGGTGGCGGGTTCGCTTCCTGATCGGGTCTCTTTAAAGAAGAACTATGATGCTTAGTTTTCTTCATTCTTATGTTGCCTCGTAAGAATGAAGAGACTATTGACTTTTTACTATTTGCTGTGCTATGTTCTCAGTTGTAAATGTATATTGTAATTTTGTACTGTTTAGTATTGGGTATGTCTATTATGTTATGCCAGAAGGACGCGCCAAGGTGCATCTGCGTTATGTTTGTTCAAGTTGTTTGGCCGTAGTTGCACAAAGGAGACCGTGGGACTGATGCGTCTCCAGTAGAAGAAAAAATATGCCAAGAAAGGTTAAATATGGCTCATTTCTATCTTTCACTCATTTCCTTGTGAAGTGTCTCTCAACATTTAGGATTTGAAATGACATCATCAGCAAAAATATACAGAGAAATAAGTATGAAGGTCAAAAGAAAATGCTTTACGCCTGTAACTCCTAGGGTACCACCAGGGGTTGTAGAATGTGTTTTATTGTTTCATACATTTAAAATTTGACGGCTGCAAATTCAACTGTGTAATGGCAAAGTATGTCTGTACATGTGCAAAATTACCAAAACTAATTTATGGGGAATACTTTTGTTTTAGAAGACCTGCCCTGAGTATGATGTCATAGTGGCACAATGACATCACACTGCTACAAGACTGCTACAAGAGCTTTCAGACAGAAGGGGCGGAGCTACATGTTTTTGCCAGAAGTTCCAGATATCAGTGTGGTTAGGTCTAAAAACAACTCTAGGTCTGTTTTTAAGGAGCAATGCCATACTGTGGTGAAAATCTAAAAAAATCTAAAGAGGCAGAAGTATAGAGCAATTTTTTTCCCATAAGCTGCTTCTTCACTCACAAGTTTTCAACAAGTGAGTATGTGTCCTTTAAATTGGTGCATGGTAATGGGGAGGAGGCGGTTTGCTGCACGAGCTGAACCCCAGTGGAAAGATGTGAGGCAGTGTTTGAATACAGTCTGTATATTTGCAATTTCCTCCTTTGAGATTCACTAAAACAGAATGATTCAATTAGATATCCTGAAACTCAAAGACAGAGACTTTTCCACCCTTTCAAAGTAAATTGGACAAACAAAAACGAGGAAATAGAAATGGAATTAAGACCCTAATTTACAAGAATAAAAGATTAGTAGCAATATAAAAGTAGTAGTAGAATAATAGTAGTAGATTTGTTGTACATTTTGAATAATTTTTTGCTTGATTTAACAGAAACATGAGACGATAGATGCAAACGTTGAACGAGAAACTAACTGTGATGATTTCAAAGCTGTCTCCAAATCTCCAAATCAGCGTGAAGTATTAGACAGGCAGAGATAAACGGTGACACTGTTAGAGGTAATCGTATTTCACACAAAATTACATCAGGAAAAGTAAATATTAGTATTTGTCTGGCTGCTTCTGGGACCACAACATCGGATCACAGCAATGAAAAATAGATCCGTTGTTTTTAACCCTCATTTTAGCGTCTTGCAAAAAATTATATAAAATGAGGTAATGATTGTTGAATCGAGTGGTTTTTATCCTAATCTGACACTTATGATTTGGGGGTGTCCGACCACAAATTAATTTCCATGGTACTGCCCTTAGCCGAAACACAAATTAAAACAAAGCGCCAAATCAGTTTCAGAAATTTAAAGGCAATTGACTCCACCCGCCTCCGCATTATCCTTGAATCTCATGCACCAGTTAAAACCAGAACAGTCACATTTTCCAGAACAGCCCCATGGTACACACCTGAACTCCACAGTATGAAGACAGCTGGCCAAGCCCTCGAGCGGCGCTACAGCTCCACTGGCTTACTAGTCCACAAACAGGCATACCGTGAACATCAAAAAACATATACCAGAGCACTCACCACTGCAAGATCCTGCTATTTTTCACAAAAAATCTCAGATAGCACTGGCAATTCAAAACGATTATTTTCTGAAATAAACACTCTGGTCAAACCTCACACACACACACTGTCTGACACCAGTACGGACCATTGCAATAGGTTAATGGACTACTTCACCAACAAGGTAATGTCAATCCGGTCTGCCCTTCCTTCCACTACCCCATTTCCAACTGACATAATCTTTCCTAAGCCGCCCAACACCTTTACCTCCTTCTTGGATATCTCCCAGTCTGAAGTGGAGAGGATCATAAGCAGCATGAAGCCCTCCACCTGTCTGCTGGATCCTCTCCCAACAACACTTCTCAAATCAAACTTTTCCGCCATTAGCCCATTAATAACAGAAATCATTAACCAGTCACTAAAATCCGGTCAGGTCCCCCCAGCTCTCAAAAATGCAGTAATCCGCCCCCACCTGAAAAAACCTTCACTTGACCCCAACATCCTAGCCCACTACAGACCAGTCTCAAACCTCCCATTCCTCTCCAAAGTCCTCGAAAAAGCAATAGCAGCCCAACTCCACAATCACTTACGCTCCCATAACCTATATGAGAAATTTCAATCTGGTTTCCGCTCAGCCCACAGTACAAAGACAGCCTTGGTCCGCGTCATGAATGACCTACTCATGACTGCGGACTGGGGCTCACCCTCTCTCCTCCTCCTCCTCGATCTGTCAGCAGCTTTTGACACCGTGGACCACACCATTCTCCTCCATAGACTACAATCAGTAATTGGACTTTCACAGACAACACTCAAATGGTTTCATTCATATCTCACTGACAGAACAGAATATGTGTCCCTAGGCCAGTACAAATCGTCACCCCATTCAGTTACCTGTGGGGTACCGCAAGGCTCAGTCCTCGGGCCAACCCTTTTTACAATATACATGCTCCCCCTTGGTCAAATCATCAACAGACACAACATTTCTTTCCACTGCTACGCCGATGATACACAGTTATACCTGAAAATGGACTCCACTTCACCCACAGGTTTTACGTCAGCCCTTCAGCTTTGTCTGGAGGAGATAAAGGCATGGATGGACAACAATTCTCTTCAACTCAACAGTGGTAAAACTGATGCAATCCTCTTTGGCACCCCCCACCAAACCCAGTCCTCCTCTCTCAGCAGTGTTTCAATTTTTGGCCATAACATCCCCCTGTCCACATCTGTTAATAACCTTGGAGTCAGGCTCGACTCTAATTTTACATTTGATACCCACATCCGCCACCTCTGTAAAGTCTCCTTCCTTCACCTCAAAAACATTGCCAGACTCCGCCCCTTCCTCTCACAACCGGACGCTGAGAAGCTGATCCATGCCTTTGTCTCCTCCAGGTTGGATTGCTGCAATGCCCTCCTCGTCGGGACCTCTGCAAAGGGTCTGCAAAAACTCCAGTACATCCAGAACTGTGCTGCCCGGGTCCTGACGAGGAGGCGCAAATATGACCACATCTCACCCGTCCTCAAATCACTCCACTGGCTGCCCATCAAACACAGAATACAGTACAAACTCTGCCTCCTCACATATCAATGCACACACGGAACTGCCCCTGCCTACCTCAGTGAAATCCTAACACCACACACCGCCTCTCGAAGTCTCCGTTCAACCACCTCCTCCCACTGCCTGCACCAACCCAGGACCAAACTCTCCACCATGGGAGATAGGGCCTTTCAGGCAGTAGCCCCCCGGCTCTGGAATGCCCTCCCAGAAACCCTCAGGGCCCCACAAAGTGTGGAGGCTTTTAAGAAAGGCCTAAAGACATTTCTATTCAAACAGGCCTTCTAGATATGTACAGTTATGTTTTTATTTTTTCTTGATGTTATATTTGATGTATTGTTTTTATGTTGTGTATCTTGGGGATGTTCCCTGTTTTTGTAGCACTCTGAGGTTTCTCTGAAATGTAAAGTGCATTATAAATAAAATGTATTATTATTACTTAGCCTGGCCTTATCCATCCGTACACTCCGCTCCATCAACATTTCCTGCATGTAATGTCTGGGTCTGGTTCACGTGTTTGCGATTACAATCAGTTGAATTCCATCCAACCAATAGCGAGCGCGGGAGGCCGGTGTTGTAGTTAGATGTGGGGGACGTCAAGAGTTTGTGCCGAACGGGCAATTTAGTCTTATTTCAA